CCTTTTAAAAGCTTGGGTTGTCCAGTCGAAATAATACGGGCGGGGGAGCAATGAGAGAGAACAAAGTATTGGCTCCTACACAAAATTTAAACAATAACAAGGCGGGAGAGAGGTACTAAAATTACAGTTTCAAAATCATTTCAGTTAGTCGATCTACAGAAGGTTAATCGAAAATAATTGGCTGGACTTTTGCATCAATTAACTACGGATGTGACTTGAGGACAAATTAAAAAGGGCAATATACATGCTAAACAGCAGAAGTTACAACAGTAGATATCAATCTTAACAAATATATTTAAGAATAACTAGGAGATATTCCATACAATTATTATTATTCGTATATCTTTGTTTCATTTAAAAATCATCAACTGCTTAAATTCGATCGAGAAAAAGGAAAAAATAGTACACTAACTACAAAGGACCAAAGGTATTTTCGATAGGTATTTTTCCCTATAAAGTGTAATTTATTCACACAGGATATATATGTTTCATTACAACAAATTCATGACAAGGGAAGGTTTCTTTTGATCACTATTTTAGACGTTGAAGTTGCAGCGTAAATCACATACTCAATTTATCACTAGTCGGTAGTTGTGTCTTTTCTCTGTAAACTGTATGGAGCAGCACCAAGACTGTTGAAAATGTAGTCAAAAATACGTGCTTAATGCAAATTTTACTTAACAGATGTGTAATGTTATATTCATTAGTGGGGAGTCTTGTGGTCGAGGGCGCAGGAAATTTTTTTTATCTACGAACACTAAAAAATTATCACTATTGTAGTTTTGTCTCTTCTTGGTAAATAGTTTGAAACAGTTCCAAGACTGGATCGATCCATTCCTCATTGTCGAGTTTATGTTTGCTGCGCGCCTTCTGTACAACGCAGTATATCAGGGGCACCCAACGTCAATTTTCGGAAAATGATTTGAGATCTAGAATTTTCGGAACATTTGTTGTAAAATTTCTTGCTTGCCTGCCTCTCCTAGGATTTTTGAACATCTAAAAAATGGTGTAATTGCCCAATTTTAACGGATTTTTACCGTAAAAAGGTCGCCTAGAATTTTCGGAAGCCTTTTTTCTGGCTGAAATGTTCGAAAAGCAGGAGTCGAAAAGGTAAGTTTTGATCCCTATAATTTTCGGATCACTAGACTTTCAGCTAGGAAATCCGAACAGATGAAAAATTTTTAGGGGATAAAAATATGCCTATATGTACAGTTTGAATACTAAAATACGTTTAACAATGCTATGTTTAAGTGGTATGGAATTATATTCTCGTTGGGTGCCCCTGGTATATGCATCGCGGTGATCTGAGAGTTTCTGAGTTAAGTTCCAAATGTTTGAAACTTAAATTTTTATGTCCCCTTGCGAAGCCTGAGCACAATCATGAATTGTTATTAAGACTGATATGGCCATCCTTTCAAACTGAACAGACTAAAGAATGCTATCAGTTTAAAGCCATGGTGGTTGTATTTAGAAATCGATAAAAAAGATATTTGTCAACCAATATGAGTAATAATAATATGAGTGGACATTTTAAACTCTGGTGTGATACATATTATTTGCACGTAGAAATACGCCTGTTAAGTACTTAAACATAGGTGATCAAAATTTATAAAGCGAAAAAAACATTTCAAAGAGACATTATCATTTAATTGATTTTGTGTAAAAGATAACACCTTGCCTCTTAAACTTCCTGTTTAAGTTTTTGAATTGTATTTTGCAGAGGACGCTGAAGGGCGTACGTGTCACACGAAAATGCATTTTTTCTTTGCTTCTTTTGACGACGCAAAAATACTGTTAAACCTTGGGGTGGCGCTAAAATTTCAACCAATATTTATAATTGTCCCTTTTATTCGTTTCCTTTTTACGGCAGAACCTCTTCTATACTGACTTAGCGGTTCTGCAGTAATTTACAGTTGTTAGTTGTACAGTTGTATATCGCCGCCTACGCTCCCAATAACGTTTCTAATGGTCCGTTCCTGAGTTTTATTTACCACCCAACCTTTTACAATACGTGGCCTATGCTGTCACATTTCGCAGTCATGGAAGACTTGAACTACCTTATTATAGGAAATTAACGCTCCATGAAATTAACGCGAATCGTTAAAATTCGCGTTAATTTAAGTCGCGTTCATTTTGTTAAGCGTTAATTTCCGCGACGTTAATTAAATGCAGCGTTAATTTCCGCGCTCTTAATTTCCAGTATTTTAACCCCAATTTTGGAACCTGTTGCTCCTACACAAAATTTAAACAATAACAAGGCGGGAGAGAGGTACTAAAATTACAGTTTCAAAATCATTTCAGTTAGTCGATCTACAGAAGGTTAATCGAAAATAATTGGCTGGACTTTTGCATCAATTAACTACGGATGTGACTTGAGGACAAATTAAAAAGGGCAATATACATGCTAAACAGCAGAAGTTACAACAGTAGATATCAATCTTAACAAATATATTTAAGAATAACTAGGAGATATTCCATACAATTATTATTATTCGTATATCTTTGTTTCATTTAAAAATCATCAACTGCTTAAATTCGATCGAGAAAAAGGAAAAAATAGTACACTAACTACAAAGGACCAAAGGTATTTTCGATAGGTATTTTTCCCTATAAAGTGTAATTTATTCACACAGGATATATATGTTTCATTACAACAAATTCATGACAAGGGAAGGTTTCTTTTGATCACTATTTTAGACGTTGAAGTTGCAGCGTAAATCACATACTCAATTTATCACTAGTCGGTAGTTGTGTCTTTTCTCTGTAAACTGTTTGGAGCAGCACCAAGACTGTTGAAAATGTAGTCAAAAATACGTGCTTAATGCAAATTTTACTTAACAGATGTGTGAAATGTTATATTCATTAGTGGGGAGTCTTGTGGTCGAGGGCGCAGGAAATTTTTTTTATCTACGAACACTAAAAAATTATCACTATTGTAGTTTTGTCTCTTCTTGGTAAATAGTTTGAAACAGTTCCAAGACTGGATCGATCCATTCCTCATTGTCGAGTTTATGTTTGCTGCGCGCCTTCTGTACAACGCAGTATATCAGGGGCACCCAACGTCAATTTTCGGAAAATGATTTGAGATCTAGAATTTTCGGAACATTTGTTGTAAAATTTCTTGCTTGCCTGCCTCTCCTAGGATTTTTGAACATCTAAAAAATGGTGTAATTGCCCAATTTTAACGGATTTTTACCGTAAAAAGGTCGCCTAGAATTTTCGGAAGCCTTTTTTCTGGCTGAAATGTTCGAAAAGCTGGAGTCGAAAAGGTAAGTTTTGATCCCTATAATTTTCGGATCACTAGACTTTCAGCTAGGAAATCCGAACAGATGAAAAATTTTTAGGGGATAAAAATATGCCTATATGTACAGTTTGAATACTAAAATACGTTTAACAATGCTATGTTTAAGTGGTATGGAATTATATTCTCGTTGGGTGCCCCTGGTATATGCATCGCGGTGATCTGAGAGTTTCTGAGTTAAGTTCCAAATGTTTGAAACTTAAATTTTTATGTCCCCTTGCGAAGCCTGAGCACAATCATGAATTGTTATTAAGACTGATATGGCCATCCTTTCAAACTGAACAGACTAAAGAATGCTATCAGTTTAAAGCCATGGTGGTTGTATTTAGAAATCGATAAAAAAGATATTTGTCAACCAATATGAGTAATAATAATATGAGTGGACATTTTAAACTCTGGTGTGATACATATTATTTGCACGTAGAAATACGCCTGTTAAGTACTTAAACATAGGTGATCAAAATTTATAAAGCGAAAAAAACATTTCAAAGAGACATTATCATTTAATTGATTTTGTGTAAAAGATAACACCTTGCCTCTTAAACTTCCTGTTTAAGTTTTTGAATTGTATTTTGCAGAGGACGCTGAAGGGCGTACGTGTCACACGAAAATGCATTTTTTCTTTGCTTCTTTTGACGACGCAAAAATACTGTTAAACCTTGGGGTGGCGCTAAAATTTCAACCAATATTTATAATTGTCCCTTTTATTCGTTTCCTTTTTACGGCAGAACCTCTTCTATACTGACTTAGCGGTTCTGCAGTAATTTACAGTTGTTAGTTGTACAGTTGTATATCGCCGCCTACGCTCCCAATAACGTTTCTAATGGTCCGTTCCTGAGTTTTATTTACCACCCAACCTTTTACAATACGTGGCCTATGCTGTCACATTTCGCAGTCATGGGAGACTTGAACTACCTTATTATAGGAAATTAACGCTCCATGAAATTAACGCGAATCGTTAAAATTCGCGTTAATTTAAGTCGCGTTCATTTTGTTAAGCGTTAATTTCCGCGACGTTAATTAAATGCAGCGTTAATTTCCGCGCTCTTAATTTCCAGTATTTTAACCCCAATTTTGGAACCTGTCCAGACATTCTTGACACCTAAAATACATTAACTACAAGCTTTCTTTCTTTCTATTTACCCTTTATTTTTCATCTTTCACAAAAGCTAAGGCGAAGGTTTCCAATATTTCGAGTTCATCTTCATTGTTGTCACTGTCAGAGGTGATGCCAATATCTTCTCCCTTGACCAACTGTGTCTTAGTCGCGTTAATTTCCTTTATTATGAAATTCTGCCTTCTCTTTCGTGTTAATTTTCTTTATTCGTCGAAAAGTCGTTTTCCATTAAATTCGCGTTAATTTAAGTCGCGTAAATTTCCAATACCTTAATTTCATGGAGCGTTAATTTCCTATAATAAGGTAAACTCATCTTATCATTAATCCTTACTTTTAAAAGTGCGCCGACGGCAGTCGTGGTGATTTTTTATTCGCGAGTGTTCCTCGTACCTCTACATCTTAACAGATTCAGTCAAAAGCACATTTTTGCGACTTACGCCTGTACAAGAAAACATTTTAGGAGTCTTCTAAGACCTTTTCGATAATTACTATTAAAAACACATTGATAGTCATGATACATTTATTTGCGAGTGTTCCACGAACCTCTTAACATCTAATCAGCCAAAAGCACATTTTTGCGACCTACGCCTGTGCAAAAGAACATTTTATGAGTCTTTTAAGAGCTTTTCGGTAATTATATTTACTGCTAAACATGAAACAGATAACTGGGTTGATAGCACAGTACGCGGTAGTCATATAAAAGGTGACTTCAAAGTATTTCCAGAAACTACACGATAAATGCGTGAAAGTGTCCTGATACTGTATGATTAAAATGTTGATACCGTAAGGTAACCAGCAACACACAAACACTGTTACGGTAGCAATGGACATTTGAAGCACGTTTCTGTTTGTTCTGTTCCGCTGTTGCTGACTGTTGGCGGACTGTTCACCTGGGTGCGCCTGTGTCTTGAGCTTGATAACAATGATGGAGTAAAGAATGACTAGCAACAACACAGGTATGAATATAAACGGACTGTAGGAAGCTAGTACGAAACTGGCAAAGGATGATGACTCTCCGAATACTTTCTCCCATTCAATAGCACACGAGGTTCCCTCTGGGTATTCAACGAGCTCGGCAGTGAACAAGTATGGCGAATTGACCGCTACGGCAACTATCCATGTAGCGAGAATGAAGAAGGGACACAGTTTGGATCTGATGAGTGGTGAACGGAGTGGAAATACCACTGCTCCAAATCGATCCACTGCGATCAGAATCAGATTCTGAATCGAAACGAGAAAGGAAACTTCTCCAAAGAAAGGGAGAAGCTTACACAAGGCCTGACCAAGCTGACCACCGACAAGAAACGATCGAGTCTTTGGTGTGCAAGTAGAACATGCGCCAAGGTACTCTGAAGATCGGGAATAACAAATCAGACGACGCCATGTTTGCGAAGAAATAATTTATCGGTTTTCTTAAGTTCGGCGTTTATAAACGATTATTACAATGAGAGAATCTCCGGCCAGTGAAACGATAAAGATCAGACAGAGGGTAACGGTTCCTCCGATTTTTAACGCATTGGAATTTAACTGAGCCTCGAAGCAGGACTCGATGGACCCGTTTACCGTTGAATTCATGCTTAGCTTTGCGACGTAACTGTGGAATTGTTCATATGCAGTCAAGAAACTTTCATGACTGCTATGTATATTGAGTATATATATGCTGTTTGACAGTATTTGACAGTATTTTTATTACTTTCGGCGAAAATGTAAAGAGAGCTTATGAATAGCGCAATATTCTGTCTATCAACTTCTACCGCCTAGCTAGCCGTCTAGAGATCCTTATCTGCGCTCTTTCAAATCTCAACTTCTATGTCGGAATCCTAGTTCAGGGTCAATGAGTTCTCAACTTTGAAATGTTGAACAAGATGCAATGCTCAAAGTCTTGCCAATCAAGCAGACAACTGAATACTTTGAATGATTTGGCTCTTTTTTGCTAAGTTCTAAAACTTTTTGAAATAATTTTCATGGGGGCGTTTACTAGACAAAGGTTGTTTATTAGAAAGGGGCGTATAATGCAAATATAATATTATAGAGCGGCGCTTATTAAATGAGCCAAGAGGCGTTTGTTTGAAAGGGGAGGTCAATTAGTCATTCAATCATTTATGGTAACTCATCAATGCCTAAGTAAGCCTTTTGTAATTTGCTAGGAGAGACTCATTAGCATTGAACCTTCGAGGTATTTACTTTGTCTGAAAGAAATTCTTTTTTTATTTCTCCTTTAAGTCCTTTAAAAACTTGGGTTGTCCAGTCAAAATAACACAAGGGGAGCAACGAGAGAGAACAAAGTATTGGCTCCTAAACAAAACTTTAAAAATAACAGGCAGAAAAGTACTAAAATTACAGTTTCAAAATCATGTCAGTTAGTCGATCTACAGAAGGTGTTAATCGAAAATAATTGGCTGGACGTTTGAATAAATTAACTACGAATGTGACTGGAATTGAAAATTCAGAGGACAAATTACAAAAAGCAATACCTGCCAGACAACAGAAGTTACAACAGCAGATGTCAATCTTAACATATACATTTAAGAATATAAACTAGAAGATATTCAATACCATCATTATAATTATTTTTTTATCTTTGTTACATTTAAAAATCATCAACTGCTTAAATTGAATCGACGACAAAGAAAAACTAACACACAAGATGAAAACGCCATAGATAAGGAGGATAGATAGGTAATTTCCTTAAAATTCAGATCACGACGAAAGGTACCTTTAGATCGATTCCCAAGAAAGCGTACCGTTACCCTGGGTACCAGAGGTTTTTCTAGCGTGCTACGGGAATTTTCGGTGTTGGCCGAAGGCTGACACATCTTCGGCGGTAGGCTGAAGATTCAGGGTGGCGTACCGTATTCGCATAAGAAATACATGTTCCATAACAAGGAATTCATGAAAGGAGAAGATTTCTTTTAATAATTTTTTTAGAAGTAGACGCTGCAGTGTAAATTAAAACATGCAATAAATGAATCTTTGTGATATCTAAAATTGTATCCTGATTTAATATCCCTTAGTTAATTTATCATGCAGCGACCACTCAAAGCTACTAAAGGTAACGTAAGGCTAAGGCGCCCACGAGCCAAAGGTCCAAACGGCCGCAGCTTATACCGGTTTCCTTAGCATGATGCCTGTTTAGGAGTATTGCTTCTCCCCTCTGGACGGGATGCTAGTCGATCTCAGGGTTACCCCCCAGCTGTATGTCGCTGGTACCCATTTATACACCTAGGTAAAGAGAGACAAAGTGGATAGTGAAGTTCCTTGTCTAAGGAAACAACGCAACGGGCGAGGCTTGAACCCCGGAGTTCGAGGTGTTAACCGCTTGGCCACACACGCCTTCACTGAAGAGCATCAACCAAATTTGAAACATGGGAGAACCGAATAAGGCTAAGGGAAATCAATTCTAAAACTCCTGCTGCTTGCATTTTCATTGCTTAACGGTACATATCAGGATTGTTTGTTTTTATTATTAATAAGTTATTATATTATTATTCTTAGTAGTAGTAGTAGTAGTAGTATTAATTCTTCACTAGAATAGATGGAAGAGCTGTTAGTGTATTTTTTAAAATACAGTCTAGAATGTGTTTTAAACTCCCATTTCAGAACGTATGTTCAGGGACTTTGTGTCAAATAAATAGTAAAAATGCAACTTCAAGGAGTTGAGTATCTAAGCATCTATTAAATAAATGTGGCTCTCCGGCCACGAGGAAATTTTCTGCTGCTGAAGAACCGCAGTGATCAGGCTTTTGTGAACTAGGGCGCGGGAAAGTTCATCTATGAATACTATCAATGTATCACCAGTTGTAGTTCTGTCGTTTCTCTGTAAACTGATCTAAGACTATTGAAAATACAGTTGAAAATACGTGCATGATGACAGGTGTGTGAAATGTTATCCGGCTTTGGCAATGCGATCATAAAGTGCACAATTTGGCTGTTAAACTCGAGCAGCTGCCTTCAAGCAATAAAGCCCAGGCTTAGTAGGTAAATATGAGGTAAAAATGAGTGCATATTCATCAACTATGCATAAAACATGAAGTTTTTATAACATTTGCTTTTCAAGCGAAAAAAAAAGAGGGAAATTATGAAACCAAGAGTCTCGACTAAACTAATGGGTTCTTCCTCAACAAAAATACAAGGCTTGTTATTTCTTTTACTCCCATGGATTTTACGAACTTCTGCCGGTTCCACCATTACATGTGGCACTTGACAAGAAACCCCACTCCCTCGCTTAACTCATATCAATGCCTGAGAAGTCTTTGTGATTGGCTATAGGAGAGGCTTATTAGCATTATATGGAAAATTCGAGTCATTTACTTGGTGACAACGATTTCCTGTTTTAAATATCACCTTACAGGGGGTTAAGGTTGGGTTGTCCAGTCAATATAAACTAAGGAGAGCAACGAGAGAAAAAAGTATTGGCTTCTAAACAGAATTTAAGCAACGAGCGTAAGGAAGGTACTAAAATAACAGTTTGAAAATCATGTCAGATCAATTAGTCGATCCACCGAACCGATGTGTTCAGCTTTTTTTATTGGCTAAACTTTGCAATAAATTATTTATGAATGTGTGATTACAAATTAAAAATGCAATTCGTGCTGAACAGCAGAAGTTTCAACAATAGACAGACAGTGAAGAGGTACTAGGAGATATGTCATACCATTATCATTATTCGAATTTTTATCGTCAACATTTCCCTTAAATTTTCAGTTAATAAATTTACCCTTGCATGGACTAATACTTTGTACTTCTCCTGCCCATGCCCCTATAACGTTTCTAACGGTCCGCGGCCGAGTTTTATCCCAAACACTTACAATACGTCGCCTATGCTGTCATTTCTCGCACTCATATATTAAAACCTTCTCAGAGTGCTGGAGTACACTGATAGTCATGATATATGATATATTTGCGAGCCAAACTGAGCACATTTTTGCGATCTACGCCTGTACAAAAGAACATTGTATGAGTCTTTTAAGAACTTTTTGGTAATCAATTACTGCTAAATACGAACCCCCGAGCCCGGGATATGAACAAAAAAAAAGCGGGTTGATAGCACAGTACGCGTTAGACATATACATGGTGACATCAAAGTATAGCCAAAAACTGCACGAGAAATGCATAGACCTGTCATGCAGCTACAGCTACGGTGAGACTCAAACGATTCTCGGAAAAGATAATCGAAAATACGTGCTTAACACCATTTTTAAACAGGTGTGTGAAATGTTATCGTTAGCAATACGATCATAAAGTACACAATTTGGCAGGTAAACACAAGAAGCAGGGTAGAAGCTGCCTGCCATTAAGCAATTAACAGGCTTAACAGGAAAATATGAGGCAAAAATAAATGCCTGCTATCATGTGTGCATGAAGCAGCCAGTGTTTATATCATTAATTTACTTCTCGATCGAACTAAAAACGGGAAATTCGAAAAGCAGGAGTCTGCTGTCGGGCAAAGGGAAACTAGCAGGTTCTTACTCAACAAATAGACGAGGCTTGTTCCTTATTTGACTGCTTTTAATTGTTACGAATTGTTGGTTACAATTTTATCGCTCGATAACGCTGTAGTAATCATAAATTTATAATGACCAGAGTGACTCAAACGCTTTAAAACTCATATCAATGCTTGAGTAAGTCTTGTAATTGGCTAGGAGAAACTCATTAACATTGAACCTTCGAGTTATTTACTTTGTCAAATCGATTTTCATTCTTAAATGTCACTTTCAAGCTTCGGTTGTCCAGTCAATATAAAACCAAGGAAAGCAAAGAGAGAGAACAAAGAATTGGTTTCTAAACAAAATTTAAACAATATCATACAGTAACCACTGAAGAGCACCCCCTTTCATATGGCCCTCGCGAATGAAATCGGACGAAGGACTTTTTTCGAAGTCTATAACCTCTGTTGCTTACAATTTCATCGCTTAAATCAGTACATGTACATACCAGGATTGTATTCTTATGAAGTTATCATTATATTCATTATCATTACTATTACTAGATTCTTTAATAGTGTAGAGCTGTTAGTTTATTCTAATGTGTTCAAAACGCCCATTTCAAAACGTATGTTGAATTTGTGTCAAATAGGTAGTAAAAATGCAACGACAAGAACATTTTTTAAATAAATGTGGTTCTTAGCCCCACGAGAAAGTGGAACTTGGCGACCGTTAAAGAGTGATCCGGCAGGGAGTCTTTTAATCAAGAGCGCAGGAATTTTTTTTTTAACTACGAACACTAGCAATTTATCGCCATTGTAGTTCTTTCTTTTCTCGGTAAACTGTTTGAAGCAGTTCCAAGACTGGATCGATCTATTCCCCACTCTCGAGTTTTATGCTCGCTGCGCTCCTTCTGTACCACGGAATATTATCACTGCGGCAATCAGTTAAGATTCAAAC